AAAATATTATCTAATCATTCAAAGCCATCTCTAAATGGGACCTTACAGTCACTAAGTTTCACTTTCTAGTGACTATCAGGATAACTATCCTGTTCTCCAAGTAGTTTAGCGGAGTTCCACAATCAACCATATCAGTGACTACTGAGAATAGATAGTGGAAGAAAAGATATGAACAAATGAAGAAATCTTACAATATTCATTACCATAGTATCCATTCTGGTGAGGCAATATAAACCATACTGTACACAGATCTGTCCTCTTGCCCTCTCACACCCCTGAAGAATCCCAAAGTAATATTAAAATTCTTTCCACTTCACAAGTATAGAAACCAGGATATAAAGGGGTGTCCATTCCACATAAAGCAGAGCAGGTTAAGACAATTAACCTAATAGACCGCACCTGTGGGTGTGGGGCCTGCAGATTAATCAGTGATGCAGCCCAGCTAAGTAAGGGCAGGCTGAGCTTGTATAAATAAAGTAGCAGCTGAGAACAGAAGAGGTCTGCTGGCTAGGCTGGAGCAAGAGTCTGAGATGAATGGCTGTGCTGAGTTGCTGATAAAGGGTTCAATAGGCGACTTGCTGGCTGAGCTGTGCCTGGGATTGGTTTTGGATGACAGACTAGACTGAGTGAGATGGAACAAATAAATCTGAAACCAGGCTAGACAGTGAGGAAAGGGAAAAACACAGAGCAAGACTGGATGTAAACAAACAGGAGGGAGGATAGACTTCTGGAACCAGAAGAACAAGCAAAGGTATAGAGTAGCAAGGGGAAAATTACATAACAGTAAAATCCCTTGTTAAGGGACTGCATAGGGGATCAAAAAGGTGTGGGAGTTCCTTAAGACAAATGTACTAGGTACAGTTAAAAAAAAAAAAAAGCTATCAGCAACCTAATTCCTCACAGAAACAAAAATAGTCTATAGTGTGCCTGCTGACATTTCAGAAGAACTAAAGCAATAAACAGGTGAAAATGGCTCACAGGCTAATTAGCAGAAAAGGAGGTAGTAGCACACCCCTGACAGCTGATCACATTTGGAAAGAATGCTAACAGTTACCATAACTGTTACCGTAACTTTAGGGTAGCAAATATTCTGAACTATATTCTGAACTATATTCTTCTTCCTATAAAATGTTCCAGGTACCAACAAAGAGAAAATATAATACAGCAAGTGTGGAGATGAACATTCATACAATGATTGAGAGGCCGGAATGGAACAAAAATGTTTCAATTGTGGAGGAAAAAAGCTCAGCATATAGAAGATGTACTAAGGCAAAACAAGCTAGAGAAATAAACCAAAATTACTCATAGCATCTCTTATGCGGAAACTGATAGGAGACAACTAAAAAAGTAAAAAAGAAAACCTGATATAGGGAAAGGGAATAGCCAGCAACAAAATAATGGAAAGGATGTAACAAGTGAGATTGGGATAGATGGGATACTACTTCTCGAACAGAGATTCGTTGTGTTACTGATTAAAGTAATAAATTGTAGATCTCAAACAGGGAAAAGAAGAATACCAGCTGCTAAAAGGTACCTAGCAATCATTTAGTGTAACGACGGAGTGAAAGAAATACTGAAGGTTAAAAGAACCATGATGACTATTTTCATCTGGAATCCAGACAGTGTAACTGCAATTGGGCAGGAATTAAACTTAGATATTATTGATATGAAAAAACCTGATGTAATATGCACACAGTAGGTCTGGCTAATAGAAAAACTAGGCTATGAACTACCTGAAGATGGCACGCATAAATATGATAGAGAAATAGGCAAAAGGTGGGGGTTTCTGCACCTTCATTATGGGAAACATGAGTTACCTTGAAGTGCAGCTGCTTTTGCACAAAAACTTGCCAATGTAGACACAGCCTTAGAGACTAGCAAAAATATATAGAATCATAAGCTTTCGTGAGTAAAACCCACTTCATCAGGTGAGTTGGAGTAATGGTAATCAGGGAAGGAATTAGGCACACAAACCAGCAAAAAAAAATCCTTAAATAGTGAAGACTTTGTGTGACTACTTTACTTTTTTTATATTTGACTAAGGGCTATAAACAGGGCAAAAAGAGAAAGTTAGGGACTGCAGGAAAATACATACACACACCACTATAGCAGTGATATGTAAACAAATTGAGACAATGGACGGAATAAAGAGTAAGAGCAACAATTGCAGGGAGTGGAGTAATAAGCTCCAACAAGGAAAAAGTGTAAGTTCTGGCCACCTATTTAAGAAGCCACGTGATTCAAAAAGTCTATACAAGCTGAGGAGCAGAACAGGGAAAGCTTTTTCCAGTGTATATACAGTTGCACATGAAACTCCACAAGAGGATGTATTAGTCCGATCCTCTTTAACATCATGATAGATAACATCCCTAAGGAGCAGAATACAGGAATAGGAATCATGTTATGTGCTGACAACTGTGTCATATGAACAAAAGCAGAAACCTTGAAAGAGTTGCCAAAAGAATCAATGATGCACTTACAGTGCATAATGGGTCTTCCAATTCACCTCAAGACAAATTAAGAGTGTCATTGTCAAAAAGTCCAAAAAGTTGTAAAATTAAACTGACATGATCAACAGCTAAATACAGTAAAAAATTAGAGATTCTTTGGTGTGCTATTTGATAAGCTCACTTGGAGAGACCACACTGAAAATATTAAAGTGCAAATGTACAACTAACTGAAAAGTATTTCTGGAACATCATGAGGAGCAGATAAGAAAACTGTGGCAATACTATAAAAAGCATTAATTAGACCAGTTATTGAGTACAAATGCCGGGCCTTTGGATCAGCAATGAACAGAATCTAAGAAAACTAGAGTCTCTTCAAGCACAGCCACTGCACATCACATGTGGTGCCTTCATTATAACACTTCTGCATGTATGACAAGTAACAGACAGTGAAATGCCTATCACTCTTAGAAAGAAGCTCCTAGACTTAAGCCTTTTGGGACAAAGTACTAGGAAATAGTAAATATGACAACACAGAGCTAATAAATTAAGTTGGTTGGGAAAGAAGTGGAGGGAAAAAAATCCCCTCAAAATTCCCCATGCGAATAGGGTTCAGAAGAGGATAAAGAATCTTAATGAAAAGAGGCTTGAAAGAAACCTAAAACTATATTTATGTGAAAATACTCTATCACTGGAAAACTCCCTCCCCCACATAATAGATACTGAATTATATAATGAAAAATATAAAGAGATAAATATACAATATAAATCAACTTTTTGGTGACAAGTGAGGGCACTGTTGCCAAAATATACAGATGGCTCCAAAATGGAAGAAACAGGAACAGTTGGAACTGCTCTCAGTGAGCCTCTTTCAGACTCTAGAAAACTTGAAGATTAACTTTTTATCAGTCTTTACAGTTAACAGGGATTATGCTGGAACTAAATTGTATTTCAGATGCGTGTCCAGCTGCTGTAGCCATCCTGTGAAACTCCTTATCAGGGTCTCACAATTTTTCAGTGATAGTGTGATAGCAAAAGTGACAATGTCCTTAATGCAATATTAGTGCTAATAACTGAACTGTCACCATTAACAGCACAGTAATAGCATGCATCCTGGCACATATAGGGATAGCAGGCAATGAATTGGCTGACAAACAGGCAAAAAAGTGCTATTAATAATGAACATAGAAATTCCTCTAAGCAAACTGGAATTTAAACACCAAATCAAAAAAGAGCTAAGGAAGAAGTGTCAAGAACTGTGGGTGAATAAAACAAATGGGAAAAGTTTCTGAGATGTCCACCCTACAGTAATAATCTTGACAAAATCCAAGGCCCTGAGAGGAAGAGCAAAGTAGCTCTATTTAGAATTATAACAGGGGATTGTGGATTAAACAGTAACTTATTTCTAATTAAAACAAAGGGAAAACCTATGTAGCACTTTAAAGACTACCAAGATGGTTTAATAGGTGATGAGCTTTCGTGGGCCAGACCCATTTCCTCAGATCATATTCTAGAAGAGAATTGGCATGACCGTATATACCAAAGGAATACAATGAAAAAAGTGAACACATTATTAAACTGACAAATCAGATTTAGTACAGAAGGTGGTTTTAATCATGTGTTCATTTTTTTCATTGTATTCCTTTTGTATATATGGTCATGCCAATTCTCTCCCAGAATATGATCTGAGGAAGTGAGTCTGGCCCACGAAAGCTCATCACCTATTAAACCATCTTGTTAGTCTTTAAGGTGCTACATAGTTTTTCCTTTTGTTTTAGCCACATCAGACTAACACGGCTACCTCTCTATTATTTCTAATGAACGTGCACAAAATGGATTAACATGCAAGGCCCATGGAACAATAGATCATGTTCTTTGGGATTGTCAGCACTGTTCCAGTGAAAGGAATTGTTTATACAGAAAACACTGGCTCAAAGTAAAAAATAAAGAAAATCCTTACAACGTCAGAGGGATGCCAGGAGATCAAAAAGAGTAGTAACAAGAGTCTAGGAAAACAGCAAGGTGTAGTCCAAGTATAGAGACTGGGAGCAAGCCAATCATGGTTGTTAGACAAAGAATCCTAGGGCTGGAACCAGGGCTGGTAGGCAGACCCAGGTTCCCAGAGGCTTAGGAATTGACATAGGACTTGGCTTTGGAGCATAAGACTGCCTGGAACAGTATGCAGCATGCTGACAATACTCCTGAAAAGGAGGGTTATACAGTGACCTGGAGGGCTGAGTCACAGAAGAGAAAGCACTGCAAGTCTTGGATATGGATGAGGGAACACAGTTTGAGCAATCTTTCTGAAAGGGGGGTATCAGACCTGAATAGAATCAATCCCCAGACCCAGCCACAAGGAGGTGCACACAGAGCACAGTGATATAAAATGTATTATACAATTTCACATGGTGAGCGGAAGTAGATTTAGGCATCAAACACAGACCTCTTAAAATTTGTTGTTTATTTTCAGTTAGTCAGGAGAGGAAAAAAGCCTGTTTTGCTCTGTGTTCCCAGTCATCTTATTATTACTATTTTGTTTTTCTGCCAAAATACCTGTTTCAGACTCTCCATCTTGGACTGTCGCATTTCTTCATATTTCCATTTCCATTGAGAGAGATCTGAGTGCAGCTTGTCTACTTCTTTTTCCAGGAAAAAATGCATTCTATAAAAAACGATTTAACATTCATCATTAGAAAAATATCTTTAAAGATAATAAAGCTGACTCTGAATATCTTTGTATTGTTCAAAACGGTCTTGCTTTGCTAGCTTTTAACATAGTGTTTTCTTTAATTATGTTTGTATTATTTTTATGCTCTTCAAAGGATTAGCCAAGGAGATTTACTGAAGAGAGAAGGAAACAAAACAATTCAATAATGTGAAATATACAAGAAATGCTATGGTAAACCAAATGAGAGTTGGAAATTGACTTTAACCAGTGAGTCAACTGACCCAACGTACCATGTGATGACAAAGACCAGAGAAAAAAAGTAATACATAGATGAAAGGGAGAAAGGGTAAGGTGAATTTTATCTTTCATTATATTATCTTAATTATGCGTTCCCAAGTTTTCACTTTTTCCTGTTCCAGGCTGCTTTCCTGCTACATACAGATTTTCACTTTATTTGAGCTTTGTTTTATCTTTTACCACATTCATTATACATTATTTTTACTTGTTAAAATTATTCTTGGAATTGTTCTAACTCTGTTCCCACTTTATTCTGAGTTTCCTAATGCTTGGTGGTCAGCCTAGCTCCTATAAATCAGCCTAGCTCCATTAAAATCTGTGCCTTTGGTTTTTAATCTCAGTGCCTGCTGCCCCTCCCTAGGCCTCGAAGGGCTTGTGGATTTAGAGGTAGCCATATATGCCAACTCCTAGGCACCGGACCAGCCCACCAGCTCTCCCTGCGGGAGACCAGGTGCCCACCATTCAACCCCAGGTTTGGAGAAGCTTATCCACACCCATCATCCCAGGTGCCTTGAAGAGACCCCCCCAGAGTCCACCCAGGAGCAGGATGCCTGTTTTCATGTGGGGGCTTTGGGCATTGGTCAAGGAACTGCCCATACATGGAGTGTAACTTCGGGAAGCTCTGGACCCTACATTCACACACCATCAAGACCCTGCCAAGCTGACCATCCCACTATGAATAGATAGGACAGAGGCAATCGGGCTGATTGACTCCAGTTGTGCCCAGACCTTGGTACGGAGAGCACTCGTTCCTAACCCTGGCCCTCCTCAGGATAACATCAGGTTGCAGTGTGTCCATGGAGACGTGGAAAATCTACCCCAACATCCTGGTGACCTAATGAGTAGGAAGGCGTGAAGAGTCTTTAATGGTCAGCCTGGCCTCAACCCTCGTCTACCCAGTGATACTGGGCAGAGACTGGGGATATTTGAGGGAACTGCTGTCAGAAGTTGTGAAACCTACTATGGAACGGCAACCCCAGCCTTTGAGAGCCAGTTGAGTTGAAACCATGACTCTTGCCAGAGTGGGGAAAGTGGCGGATCCGGGGGTGGGTACCTCCCAGGACCCAGCACAAACCCAGGTGGACCCGGGCCCCAACCAGCCCGAGAGGGAGCCAGTCCCCTTACCCGAATCAGCAGTCCTAAAGTGCCCTTTGGGTTGCATGGCAGCACTACCACATTCCAGCAGGTGGATGGACAATGTTCCGCATCCCCATGGTCAGTACACGGCTGCTTATTTGGATGATGTAGTGATTTATAGCTGTGATTGACAGGCCCACTTTCAACATGTAGCAGCTGTATTGCATTCCCTCAGAGAAGCCAGTCTGACGGTGAACCTTGCAAAATGCTGCCTCGGAAGAGAGGAGACCACCTATCTGGGCTACACCTGGGGAAAGGATCTGTACGCCCCCTAGTGGGAAAGGTCGAAAGCCCTCTAGAGGTATGCCCCTTCATCATCAAAAAGGCAGGTACACTAGTTCTCGGGGTTAGCAGGGTACTATTGCTGCTTCATCCTTGGCTTCTCGTCCATCACAGCCCCTCTTACTGACCTCCTCAAGAAGGAGAGTACAAACTGAATTTAGTGGACTCAAGTTTGTGAGGAATCTTTCCAAGCCATAAAGGCCCAGCTCTGTCGAGAATCCGTCCTGTACAGCCCCGACTTCTCAAGGCAGTTTTTCTTACAGACAAATGCCTCTGATGTGGGCCTCGGAGCTGTTCTCTCCTAGGTCATGAGAGGTGACAAACACCTGATCCTCTACATCAATGTTTCTCAACCAGTGGTACGAGTACCCTTAGGGGTACTCAAGAGAAGTCTGGGGGGGGGGGAATATGTCAACACAACTGAAATTTGGAGAAAATGAAATTTTGGGGTGTAAAAAAGTACAAAAATAATAAAGAGCTGTAAAACTTAAAACAAAAATTCAATGGCCCTCCCGGCTACTATTAAGTTGTTTAAACAAATGTATTGCAATGGTAGAAAAAAATGGTGTGTCTGAAAACTAGGTAGTGGGGGTACATATATATATATATATTATATTTATTTTTCTTTTTTGGAAAAAGGGGTGCTTTATTAAAAAAAAGGTTGAGAAATACTGTTCTACATCAGTAGGTAGCTATTTCCCAGAGAGAAGGCCTACTTTGTAATAGAAAAGGAGGTGCTAGCAGTGAAACGGGCAGTGGACTCACTCTGGTATTACCTCCTGGGCAGGCACTTTGCCATCATCACAGACCATGCCCCTCCTCGCTGACTACATGCAATGAAAGAGGACAAATCCCAGAATTTTGAGGTGGTACCTCTCCCTCCAACCCTTCTCCTTCCATATCCAACATAGGGCTGGGAAGGCCCATGCAAATGCAGACATTTTCTCCAGGGGAGATGGAACGCAGTTGGAGGAGGGGCAGACCCAATCGGGGTTATGGAGGGGGATGTGTGAGGGACAGGGCCAGCCTGAGGCATTCTGGCGCCCAGGGTACGGGCATGCAGCGCCGCGCATGGGCGCACGGTGCATGCGCCGCCCCCCCCCCC